AGGGTGCTTGCCCTGTGCTTGGCCCTGGGCTGGGGGCCAGGTTTCCAGGCAGGGTTTGTATCTGAAGAAGTAAGGAGGAGGCTCTGCCCGTGCAAAGGCCCTGAGGCCAGAGGACCCCTGGAGCATTGGGAGCTGGGCCAGGAAGCGGAGAGATGGGCCCAGGGGTGAGGGGCTTTGCAGGTCCTAGGGCTTGGCAGCCACAAGGCGCTCTGGGTACCTTTGCTGAGAGGGTAGGAGGAGCCTTTCAGGTTCCCCTCTTGGCTGGGTCTCAGGGGGCTGTGGAAAGCAGGTGGGAGGTGGGGGGCACCAGACCCCGCTGGCTGCTGATTAACCAGCCTGGCACTGCGGGCTGCGGTGGGGCAGGGCAGGGCACCAGCTCGCTCACCTGCCCTGCTGCTTTGTCTCAGCAACAGATGGCACAGACCCCAGAGCTAATATTGAACTTGCCTGGCTTTTAAATAACAGCTCCAAGCCCTGCTGTGCCTAGCGTGGCCCCCCGAGCCCTCAGGTGGAGCTGGCCCAGCACCTGCTCCTGCTGCAGAGCTGCCTGGGGTGTGCAGACACCTCTGCCTGCACTGGGCTGGAAATGCCCAGAAGGAGCCTCCCTGCTGCGAGGGGGCAGTGCCAGGCCGGGAGCCATTTCTGAGAGGTGAAACCCAGCCCCGCCAGATCCCCAGGGCCGGGCCCTGGGCAGACGCGCACCAAAGACACCAGTGGCCTCATCCAGCCCGTCCTGGGCTCTGTCCCTGCTGTCCCTGCGTGTGGGCTCTGTCAGCCCCACTGCGACTCCCCAACTCCCAGGGAGCCCCCGGAGTCACCCCACCAGCATGCCCTGCACAGTTGGCTTCCATCTGACCTGGGGCAGCCGGGCCTCGGCTGGTTTATGCCCCCTCTGCCCCCAGTGCCCGAGCACACGCTGGGCAGGGAGGTGGCTGCAGCCCTGGGAGGTGCTGAATGCTTACATGCCTGACAAGGGGTGGGGCAGGAGGATGCAGAGTGGGGCCAGGCCCGGGCTGGGGGTGCCCTGGCCACGCATGCAAGGGCATCCACCACCACCCTTGCTCCCCTCCTCCTGGAACGCTGTGCAGGCAGCTGACAGCGTCAGGCGGGCCCCCATCCCAGCAGGGCCGCGAGGCAACACCCACCCTAACAGTGGCAGCCCATCCCCATGCACTTGTCCCTCATTCCCTGGGGTGGGAGCACCCGTGTTCTCAGCCCTCCCTCCGGGTCCCCGTGACCTGGGCTCCTGGCTCCTGGGCTCATCACCGTGTGGACCGATGGCCCAACTGACTGGACTGGGGTACAGGCACCGGTCGCCAGCCAGCACCCCACCCACCCTGGCCTCCTCTTCCCTCTCGGCCTCCAAGATCCTGCTCAGATCCTCTAAAACAACCTCAGAGTAATTATTACGAGCAGGCTACTGGGGAACACCTGCTCCAGCTGGCCCCGCCTTGCTGATGTGCTGCACTGAGCCCCGACAGGCGCCCCAAGTCGCCAGATGCTCCGCACCCCCCTGGCCGCCCCACCGCACGCCGCAGCCAGTGTGTTTCCAGCGCGCCGCACAGCTGTCACTTACAGCGATCAGTGGGGAAATCATCGCCCCACGAAGTCATACATATGGAACATCATATTTGCAGAATATTTATTTTAACACGTGTCAGGGCCTCTCGGGTGCAGGCGGAACCCTGCCTCATGCCAGGCAGCTGGGGTGGGCAGGGAGGGGATGATGCAGCAGGGGCCTGGCTGGCTGCCCCTCCTTGGCGCTCTGGGTGGGGCCCCGGCCACTGTGTCCCCGGCTGCTCCCGAGTGGCTGCAGCTGCCGAGCATAGAGCCGGCAGCCAGGAGCCCAGGGCATCTCAGCAGGGAGGGTGCCACCTGGGATGTGGCCCCAGCCAGTGTTGGGGACCAGCAAGGGGAAGGGGTCCCCAGGGGGTGCAGAGGGGCCCCTGCAGGAAGCAGCCACGCCACCAGGGCCAGGGAGAGGAGGGCACGTAACGGGGACCCAGCCTGGCAGGAGGGAAGACACTCCGCCTGGGACAGGGCAGGATGACAGAGCCTTGGCTGTCGCCAGGGCTGTGCGGCTCTGTGGGGCCTGACCCCAGCTCCTTCCTCCAGGCCAAGCAAGGGCTGCAGGCTCAGCTGTGGAAACCCCAGGGGTCAGAGAGGTGGCCCCTTTCCCAGGCCGCACAGAGGGGACACTGGGGGGTGGGCCAGGGCAGCGTCTCTTCACTCCGAGGAGGCTTCAGAGTGCTTGGGACCAGGCCTCTGGGCTGGAAGCTCTCAGCCTTGCTCCTGGTTCCCCAAGCCCAGCGCTGCCCCATGAGGCTGGGGTCAGGATGAAGGACAGTGGCTGCCCTTGGACAAGTGAGTCCGGGCCTCAGAGCTGAGCAGACCGAGAGCGAGCTCCACAGGGCGGGCCTGCCCCGTACAAATACCACCAGCCGCCTTTCAGTAATCACTTTTTAAGGAGAAGCTGGGCAGGGTGGCACAGACCTGTTGTCCCAGCACTGGGAAGGCTGAGGCAGGAGGATTGCCATGGGTTTGAGGCCCGCAAGACCCGTCTCAAAAGAAAAAACAGGAAAGGTACTGGGCGTGGTAGCACACACTTGTCATCCAAGCTCCACAGGAGGCTGAGGAAAGAACTGCAAGCTTGAACCCAGCCTTGGAGTCTTAGCAACTTAGTGAGACCCTGTCTCAAATAGACATATAAATCAGGTGATGTAGCTCGGCGTGAAGACTCAGAGTTCAGTTCTTACTTTAAAAAAGGAAAGAAAAGGTGGAACTGATTTTGGTAACATAATTAATTGAACCCCACATACCCTGTTATGGTCTCAAGATGGAATCAAAGCAGAATAAGTACCCGAGGGACTCTCCGGCCCCATCTCTGTCCCAGGCTCTGCAGGGCCGGGTGGTGTCACCCCGAGGCGAGCTCCCCGTAACACAGGGCATTGGAAAGGACCAGTAGCCATGTGTGGCCACCGGCTGCCACACCCGAGGTGCTGGGGACCATGTCTTGTGGACAGACCAAGGGGCTCCCGAGGCAGCGGTGGGGGCAAAGCTCAGCCAGGCCGTGCTCCCTACCCGTGTCCCTGGCAGTGCCCGTGGCTGTCACCTGCCTATGGGGGGCTGTGTGGAGGGGCAAGTGGCAGACAGACAGACTGCCACCTTAGCATGGTGCCAGTGTGGGAGCCGGGCGCTGGGTCTCAGCGCTGCCACCCTGTTTTTGTGGCTCTGGGGACCTGAAGGAGCCTGGCTCTATGCCGCATGCCCTCCTCTGTAGGGGCGACGGTGGGGAGTTGGTACGTGGACGGCATGGGCACCAGTGTGGCCAGTGACCTGTTCTTCTGGCCCAAAGACAGGGCATTTCTGGGTCCCTGTGGGGCCACTGCAGTGGGCAGGTGAGGGGACTGCTGGCCGTTCCCCGAGGGCCACCCTTTTGGGGACGCCTGGTTGACAGGTGAGCCCTGCCCTGAGCAGGCCCACCCCCACCTCCTGGGGCCCCACTCCAGTTCCGGGGCCTCCTCTGTCCCAAGGAAGGGAGCTGGCTGTTAGGGGCAGGTGGGTTCTGCTCCGTGGGCCAGGACACTGGCCCTGGTGCCAATGGCAGGCGCGAAGTGTCCTTGTCCCTGGCCTGTGAGCTATGACCCGACCCTGGTCAGCCAAGGGCGTGGTCGTGGTCCCCGAAAGGCTGGGCCGTGTGGCTCTGGTGCAGGCGCAGTTGCCCTTTCCATGACCAGGCACCCACCCTGGCCCCACCTGAGCAGCACCTGGTCCTGCCCAGCTGCGTGACCACACTAGGCCACCCCTCCCAGGAGGTCCCACAGGGCCAAGTGCGCGGGCCACACTCTGCACATGGCAGGTCTCTCGCGCGCGTGTAGCACACTCGTGCCCATGTGGGGCACAGCCGTGACATCCCCAGCACCTGGGCACCCTGAAGGGCTCAGGGAAGGGCCTCCCCAGGAAGGGGCCTGGCAGGAAGCAGGCAGCACAGGGTGCCGGGGACCCTGTATGTGTCCCGTGGGGCTCTGGAAGCAGTGGGTGGGTGGGGGCAGCCGTGACAAATGCGAATGTGCCAAGACATTATGACACATGCCCTCCTTGCTCTGAGCCGGTCCAAGCCCCCATGGCCCTGGGAACAGAAGCTGGTCACCTTATCTGGCCCCAGGCCTGCAGCCCCATGGCTTCCCTGCCTCCCTTTGCTCGCCTGCTCCAGCCACACAGGCTGCTCCTCGGCCCTGCCCCAGGGCCTTTGCTGCAGCTGTTGGTCCCCTGCAGGCGTCTGTGTGGCTCCCTGGGGTCTTCTGCCCTCTTCCCTCTCCACTTCCTGTAGCACAGGGCGCGTGGATCTGCTGAGCAGCTGTCTTGCTGCGGACTGTCGGGCCCACATGTGGCAGGCACACAGTGAATGGCCAGGAGGAGCAGATGCTGGAGGGTCACCCACTCGCTGTTTCTCCACGTCCGTTCCCCGGGCACACAGCACACAACAGCGGCCTGCTGGGTCCACGCAAGCCAGGGCCAAGGGCTGGGACAGGGTATGAAGGTGGAGGTCTGGGTTCAAGCCCCAGCACTGCAAAAAGCAAAGCAACAAGAACAACCCAGCATGCAGGTGAAGACGTAGCTCTGTGGTAGAGTACCTGCCTAGCAAGTGTGAGTGCTGAGTTTATTCCCAGACCCTAAAAGAAGACAGAGGGAAAAGATAGAAAAAAGACACCAGTGGTGAAAAGCCTGCTGTGCAGAGGAGGCAGCAGGCGTAGGAACCTGCAAAAGACAAAGCCCGCCTGGACAGCAGCGTGGCCACCGGGTACGCGAAGAGCTTGGCCACCCCCGAGCCTCGTGCTGGGGCAGGCTGGGAACACGGAGCAGCTGTGATGGCTTTGGGACGTTCTTATCATTAGCGTCTAGTATTTTTTTTTTTTTTTTGGTACTGGGGATTGAACTCGGGTCCTTGCGCTTGCGCAGCAGGCAGCGAAACCACTGAGCTAAATCCCCGGCCCAGCGCCTAGTATTTTTATTAAAGACAGGGGTTCAGTGTGTAAAATACCTTCTGCTCACATTCTCCCCACTCCTCCCTTACATGCCAGCACATTCGTCCCTTCTCTTGTCTAAAAATCATCTCCCTCTGCTTCCATGCCATCTTCTTCAGATCCCACGTATCAGGGGAACACATGAGATGTTTGTCTTCCTCACTCTGGTCTCGTCTGCTCAGCACCACGGTCTCCAGGTCCATCCACATTTCCTGCAGAGGATAGAATTCTGTTTCTCTTTATGGCTGTATAATATTCCCCGGTGATAGGTGCCCATTCCCTGTTCAGCTGTTTATGGGCACCTGGGCTGGTCACACACTGAGGCTGTGGAGATGCAGCTGTCCCCCTGGTGTGCGGCCTGGGCTTCTGGTACGGGGCTTTCAGTCTTAGGAAAGTGCACACCTGTGTGACGCCCTGGAAGGTCAAGGCTGGAGTAGGGTCATCACACTGAGCAGCATCCGCGTCCCCTGGCCTCGGTGCAGATGCAGATCACCCTGCACCGAGTGTGACTCGGGGGTCTGGGGTGGGGCCTGGGGGCTGCATGTCTGACGGGGATGCTGCTGCCATGCTGGAGGGGGACCCCTGGCTCGGAGCCTGCAGGATCTCAGACTCCCTGAGCCATTTCCTGTGCAGCCAGGCTGGAAGCCATGCCCTCGAGGGGCCAATTTCTCCTATGTGAGCCCGGCTGCACACAGCGCGCCCCCCTGCAGTGATGTAGGAGGCACCTGTGTGGGGCAGCCTAGGCTGGGGAGCTCTGGGTGAGTGAGGGGTCTTCGGCAGAATCCATCCGTGGCCCTGGCATGCAGATGCCTGTCAGCCCCAGGCCACGGTTGCCTGGTGATGGTGCAGGGCAGCACCTGCGCATTTTCCAAGGGGAACCAGAAGTCCAGGTTTTCCTGTCCAATATGATTTGTAAACGCTGGCACAAAAGGCAAACACAGGATCTTAGGTGACCGCTGTGCAGAACGTGTCCGCCCTGGCTCTCCCAGGGCCTCGTTCGCTGCACTCACCCTGTGCAGACGCTGGGGGTGGGGGGACTGGTGTGGGAGCCCACGGCCTCTGCCCGGGCGTGACCTGGAGCCACCTCCACCATTGCAGCCCCTGCCCTTCAACGATGCTGCTCCCAGCCCACTGGCAGGGTGGGCACCTGACACCCAGGGCACTGAGGGCCGCCGCCCACGGCCCTCTCCTGACAGCTCTATCCTGCCTCAGCCCGCTCTGCCCCACTGTTCCTGACATCTGTTTCAGTAAGTGATTAATTGCAATTAGCGCGCGGTTTGAAGGCCCTGGAAGAACACTCAGCAGAACACTCGTAGAGATTAATGAGTGGCGGGCTGTCTCGAGGGGCACAGTGGCCCGGTGCACAGCAGGGAGGAGCCGCTGCCTGGGCCGGTGCTGGGGAGGGAGCGGGCGGCGACACCCCACTCCCCACCCCCAACTCGCCCTCCCCCACAGCCACCCTTGGGCAGTCGCCTCTCCCAGTGCCGGAACTGCCCGCTGACAGCTAATGACAAAGCCCTGTGGTGGGAGAGAGGAGGTCTAGGTGTATGGAATGGGTCACGATGCTTCCAGCGCGCTGTGCGTGGCTGGCGTGCCTGGAGGACAAGGCAGGGGACCTGGACATGCCACCTTCCGGCAGGGGACCATAAGGGACCGAAGACACCCTGATGTGAGCCCTCCTCCTTGCGATGGGATTCCTGGCAGCGTCCTCGTCACAAGCGGGTGGGGTTGGCCACAGCAGCTCCAAACTCCATGGCAGCTTTGGCTTTGTGACCTGGCCATTGTGCCGTGTCCGGGTGCCCGGCCCCAGTTGCATGCCCCAGGCCACAGCGGTGGGTCTTGGTTAGTGGGTTGAGTTGGCGTGTTCCTGCAGAGCTTGCCCATGTGTGCCCCACACATGCAGCTCTGCAGGAACAGCTCTGCCACGTGGCAGCTCCAGCTTCCCTGTGTGCCTGGCCTCTGTGTCGTCTCTCATGGCCACAGCCCTTTGTCGAGGTACAGTGGTGTAACCGGCATCTGTAGTCATTCTTGGTGATGTCCCCACTTTACAGACGGGGCCACCGAGGCCTGCACCAACTGCACAGGGGAAGGCTTGGGGACCTGAGCTTGAGCTCTGCCTCTCTGTCTGTCCCTACCCAGCTGTGCCACACAGCTGTCACGTGCCTTGTGCAGCCCTGGGGTTTACAGAGGCGGCCGACAGACTGAATCCCGTGTCCGCGTCTCCTGCAGTCACCCTGTGCACAGGGGTCGCTGTGCCTTATCTGCAGTGTTTTCAGGTCTTCTTGGGCCTGGGTGGTGTCTTCTCTGGGGAAATTGGAAACCAGAAACCGGCTCCGGCAGTTCAGATGGTGGCCAAGGCAGGTGCTCCCACCAACAGAGACTTCGGCCTCACTGCCTGCCCTGGGCCTTCTCTTCCTTGGGTTACACAGTAATGTCCTCTCCATTCACAGAGCCCCCAGAGGCAGCTCTGCGTGCTGTGCAAAGAATCAAGTGCACGGGTGCGTCCCCTGGTCAGGTCACTGGATGACGGGAGAGTGGGACCGCACCAGCTCTCTCCTTTGCTCCCTTTTCTGTTCATAAATTTCCCCAATTCTCAGCCCTGCCCTCTGCCAGCCACTGACCAGGTTTGCTGTCCCCTCCCAGGGCCACCCCTGTCAGTCACTGCAGATGCCCTGCAGGCTCTGGGGTCCTGCTGCTTGGCATGGACATCTATCCATAACCAGTTGAAAGGGCAGTGCAGCAGGGTGGATGAAGAGAAGGATGGGTGATCAAATGCATGGTGTGTGTGGATGGATGGATGGATGGATGTTGGGTGAATGGATGGATGGTGGATGGATGGATGATTGGGTAGTTTTTGGATGGATGGATAGATGGATATTGGATGGATGGATGATGATTGGGTAGTTGTTGGATGAGTGGATGTTGGATGAATAATAGGTGGATGGATGGATGGATGTTGGTTGGATGAATGGATGTTGGATAAATGATCGGGCAGTTGTTGGATGGATAACACTTGCAGGGAACTGAAAGGATGAGTGAAAAGTTGTATGGATGAATGATAGATGATTCAGCACATGGATGAATGGATATTTGTGGGAAATTGGATGGATGGACAGATGGAAATGAGGAGGATGGATGAATGGTGGAAGTGGGTTGAGTAGGTAGATGTTGGAGGGACTTCAGATAGAGGTGGATGGATGGATAGAAGTAGTTTGGTAGATGAACTTCGGATGGATGGTGATGGGTGTTAGTTGGATAAACAAACAGAATTGGGTTAGACAGATGGAAGGGTGGGTCCTGATAGAAAAAGGAGCTCCAGCTCTGTGAGGGGAAGGAAAAGCCGTCATCCCTCACAACCCTGGTGGAAAGGGATAAGCTTGAGTAGAAATTTCACAGCATCAGGGTTTAAAGGACCATGTCTCAACCCCTTACCAAGGGACAAACTGAGACCCAGAGGTGGGGAAGGACTTGTGTGGTTACGGGATTTACTTATGGCAGAGTTAGGAACCACGGCCTTGTTCCTGTGACACATATGCTCCCAAAGAACGCCTCCCTCCTGCTCGAGAGCATCGCAGGTTTGATCTAGGCGTCCCAGGCTGGTGGCCAAAAGTGTAACGATCAACACACACACCTCACACAACCCGGTGCCAGCTGTGTGCACATACACACTGTGACTTCTTAAGAGGGAGGGACTGTTGTCACCCATGTTTGTGGGTGAAGAAACTGAGGCACAGAGGCCAAGCCACTTGCCTGAGGCTCCAGTTAGGAAGTGTGCTGTCAGACTGTGGGGTGTGGCTGGGCACTGTGCTTGTCAGTCTTGGTCTGTGGCCCTGTCCTTTGGTTGTGGTCTGTGTGGTCACAGTCCTTCCCCTGTCCCCTCCCCTGTGCCCAGAATGGGGCTTAGTAGTCAGCAGCCCCAAATGGGCCCCACACTCAGGGCTCGAATGTGGTAGACACATTAGTGTTGTCTTCATGATCCTAATAGTTTTAAATAAAGGGTCTGTATTAGCCACTTTCCCGACACTGAACTCAAAGGAGGAGAGGTTGATTTGACTCACAGTTTCAGTGGGGCAAGTCCATGGTTGGCCTGCTCGAAGGCAGCATGGTGAAAGGGACTGGGTGGAGGAGAGGTGCCCACCCTGCTGCAGTCAGGAGGCAGTCAGAAGGGAGGAGCAGGGATGTCACACCCTTCCAGGCCACACCCCAGTGACACCTCCAACCAGTCCCCTCCTGACAGCATATGAGCCGTGAACTCGCTCAAAGATGAATCACTGATGAGCATAGCGCCCCGTGATCCAGTCACTCTGCCCACACATGAGACTTGGAGGACATTTGAGATCTAAACCGTAACCGGTCCTTGTTTCCAGGTTGTACTGGTCCCACTAATGACATGTCTGGTGCAGCCCCACATCCCCCCCCATCCGGGGGTCCCCCACAGACCAGAGTCTGACCGGGACAGGAGCACAGGTGGCGAGTGGAACACGCCCTGCACAGAGCAGCCACCAGGCCTGGCTCCGGACAGGTCCCTCCTTGGGCTCCCTGAGCCTGGGCCCAGGGGCCCTCAACGCCTGACTCCCGCATGCTCCAGAACACAGCTGGGATCTGGGCCCCCTGCACCCCTGTGTGGCCGCTGTCTACACTTCCTGAGCCACAGCCTGTCTGTCTCTGAGGCCTCCCGGGAAGGCCGGAGGCAGAGTGGCTGGCCCCCACCAGCCTGGTTAGTCTTCACCCTGTGCTCACCCCGCATGCAGCCCCAGACGCCTCCGCACTCAGCCCTGCGGGACAGGCTCTCTCAGCCTCATTTGTCGCAGACTGGGAAACTGCCCAAGAGGGCTCGAGATGCTGGCCTGGAGCCGCGCAGCAGATCTGGGCCTGCCTGTGACTCAGCTGGTGCGATTCTGTCAGTCTGTGGTCCGCTAACCTGTCTGACTGCTCAGGCAGCTCCTCGTCTGACCACAGGGAAAAGCACGACTCGTCTTTCTCTCAGTAGGGTAGGGGTGAGGAACAAGAGGCCAGGACCTGGGCCGCCCGTGGTGCGGGGTGTGCGCTCCCAGAGTCGGTGCCAGCCACAGCCCGAGGCCTGGCCAGCTGGGCATGGCCCAAAGCCCGAGGCCCGTAGGTGCTGGAGGACCCACGCTGAGCCTGCCCGAGGGCCCCAGAGGAGGCCAGAGGCTCCGCTGGGCCGGGTCGTCCCCAGGGCGCTGTGGGGGCC